TTATGCTAATGAAAGTTTGTTATTTTACTTCGATGATGTATAATGTATAATGTTCTCCAACCAGAATGTTCATATGTTGTTTTGTTTTGTTTTGCTTTTATGATTTGTATGTTGTACCAGTAAGAAACATCCTCCCCTCCCCCCCTTTGCGCTGCGACAATTAATAATTTGTTTTTCTGAGGTTTTTTCTGTTTTTTTTTTTTTTTTTGAGGTGATCAAGGCCTATTCTTCTGTTCTTACTAGTGCCGCAGTACTGACGAAACGAGTCGCATGTGAGATACGTGCAAGGTTAGCATCAGAAAATGCTGCCAGCATCTGCGAAAAAATGAAAAAGAAAAGCGCTCAAACTAAACTGATCTTGATTAACCAATTTCATGTAGCAGTAGCAGTAGCCTAAGGCGTAGTGCACAATACTTTAATAAGATCATTTGTTTTATAAAATAACGTATTTTTTCGAATATTAAATCTAAATATTTCTCTTGTGGCTACAATAAACCAACAGTAACCAGCTCCCAGTTGGCTTGTTAGCTCAGTTGGTAGAGCACTGCACCGGTATAGCAGAGGTCATGGGTTCAAATCCCGTACAGGCCTGAATTTTTTTCAGGCCTTCTTTTCACCACTGCTTAAGTAGTGTTCATAACTGCGAAGATCGCTTTCATATCCATGTCTTTATCCGCAGTTCAAATATACGACTTTCATTTATTTACAGCCGTTTAACATATTTCTTATTTACAAGTTCTCGCCGATCACCTGCTACCCTGGCTACCAAGTTAATAAACCCATTGGCCAAAGGTCCAACCTTATCGGCCGAATTCTAGATCTTCTTATTTATTTTTTTTTTATTACACATTGATCAAATTGATCAAATCCATCTTAACTTTATCTTTCTTTATCTTACTCTATTCTCTCCTTGTCGCCCACACCCAGGTTAATCTCGATATTGATTACTCGTCGAGGACTCGTAATACTCATTACAAACTAGAAGATTAGCTACGGTTATTTCACAGTCCACTTTCTGAATAGATCCTTCAGTTCAGCGTCAGCCGTGACTGACCCATAATAATGCTCAAAGCTTGCTTCCCGTTTTCGTAATGGATCGGAAATTCGATATCTTTGTACCTAAGGATGTTCAACCCCTGAGGACACTGTACGGAAAGGTTTTGTCCAATAAAACATGACCGTGCAAGATTATTTTTAAAACGAAACGAAGCTAGTTAAAATGATTAAGGAAAAATAACTTCTTCTGGCTCTAATGCCAGCCGATTGATAAACAACAGCACGAAATACTTTGACAACTTTTTGACAGTAAATGTTCCCATTTTTAAATCCCTACTTACGAGAATATTCTCACCCAAAAATCTCGAAAGACCTGCGACCCCATTCTGATAACTACATTGAAAAATGCAATCCCATTATAGTCAATCCCGTCGTGAAAATGCGCCCAATCCAGCGGAAAAGCCCGATTAGCCTCTCCCTATGAAGCACTTACCCACCGCCCCACGGGCATGCACACCGCAAGAAATGATACTTGCGGGGTCTTGTCAAACACCGCTTCTGCACAATGACGTACTTCAAATTTCTAAAACGTTTATTTATCTCCTCGTTGCTTAGTCGCCACGTAACCCTATCCCTGGCAATCAAGCACTACCACTAAGTTGAATTCTTTGAGTATCGGAACAAACTTAATTTGGGAGTCCTGGTCAGTTCATGTTCTCTCGAAAGGCTGTAACAGTAACAGCCAAAGTTCCCCATACAGAGATTAGAAAATGCCATTCAGATAATTTTATTTTGAAGAATTCTTTCTTTGGGTGGCATTGAGAGGCATTCTACAATAGTATATATGCTGCTACACCTCACCGGGCGGATATTGCGAAAGATTAGGTATAAGATAGACAAACGGAAACTCAGATGCTAACGGTAAAGGAAAAAAAAAAAAATGTCTGCATACTCGCCTTAATAACTCATAGTGAAAAAATTTAAGATAGCGCGCGCGCTCTCGTTGGCCGATAGGTAAGTTTTAATTGAGACTTCATGCCTTCTTCATTTGTCGTATCATGTTTGAGACGTTAAAGAAAAGAAAGGAAACTCTAACCGACCAAATGCTTGAGGCATTCGTGGAGAGTCTGTGAGACAAAACAAAAACAAAACAAAAAACAAATCACTAGGATTAAAACTGAACGTCTTCATTTACAACACTATTGTGCAATAGCATCGCATTTCAACATTCCTATCCTCGCAGTATAGAGGAAGATTGTCGCCATGGACCTAGTTAAACAACTCAGCCTGTCACGAGACTCCCGAAAATCCGAAAATCCGACATAAGAGTTCTTTTTCCACTTATGCCTGTGTCAACCACTAAAAAACATCATCTTAAAAAAACAAATAAACAAACAAACAAACAAATAGCTAATCTTGATATTATTCGCGCGTAAGGGACTTGAAATCCTAATGACGGAAGATTGGAGTTGCTCACGGTCCTCTTTCTAATGCTCAATAGATTCTTCAGTGCAGTGATAGCCGTGATAAGCCCTTTACCGGCTTTTTACTTTCAAGATCTCATAAGAAATTCTCGATACTGGCTGCGATTCAATTATTTTGATGTTATTTTGGGGAACTTTGTATTGGATCCTGCAATAAATAATTCCCTTATTGATATTTCTCGATATTCTCAACACTCGACTGCTTGATATTGTGTTGATGCTGTAAGAAGAAATTCTGCCTTAAAGCTACTTGAAGGTGGCAGCAACTCGTTTACGTAATGGATCAGAAATTCAACGACTTTATTCTGGCAGCATTTCAACCCGCAAAGCCGATCCGACCGATAAGTTAAATCCAATAAACATGACAATTAAGATTTATCGAAGATTACTTAAACTGTCTCAATTTCTCTCATTACGAAAGAGGCTAGTCCATAAAAAGCGAAAACGTAGCGTTTCTGCGCATTTATAAACAAAACTATTGACTTTGTATTTTAGAGATTTTAAATTGAGAGGGAAACGAATAACAAACATTACCTCAGTGTCTCGGACTTTTCCTTCACAGACTGATAGCTAAATAGCTTAATGATCAGTCGCCATCTGTTTTGAAGATTCCGACCATGTGACGGTTTAAGCGAAAATTTATGACGAATTTTCCAAGTTCGGTATTTGCTATTTGTGCTACTCCGTGACTTTGAGAGAGAAATTTATGACTTTTTCATCGTTCATTTTGATCAATTTCCAGTTTCATCAGATGTTAGAACAATGCACAGACAGTCAAGGGTCAAAGTACGTACGTTTCCTTGCCATGCCGTGACCAAAATAAAATTTTAATCCTTCTTTATGCAGGGTTTTACAGATAATTCCTAAGAGATTACAAATAGCGTTTTCCGTTCGTATCTATCCTAGTTTGGGACACATATGTCTTTTTCTTTTGTCATGGTTTGTTTTGTTTTGGTTTTATTTGTATCAACAAGATATGCAAAATAAAGTATTTGTGAAGTTGTTTAACAATTTGTGATTATTGATAGCGCTAAGAAGATGAAGCTTTAAAAATCATTAGAAAACGAAAAACTAAAAATAAGTTAAAAACATCAAATTTTATGAGCTCCAGCTGGTAGCTTAGAATGTTCCATAGGTATAAATCTTCCTCAATTAATTTCGATGTGATGAAATTATTCTTTTCTAAAATCGCATTTTATCAACTATATATGGTTAAGTCTTTGATTTGGTCTTTTTTTCTAATCTGTATATTCTAAATATTTTAAAATCTAGAATTAAAAGGCGTTTTATTTCTTGTTATGCAAATTTCTTCTTAACGTTTCAAAACAGCATCGATTGATCCGGATAAATTTCTTTGACAGATATTAGAAAACTGAATTCACAGATATTTTGGTTTAATTTCGACAGCAAACAAATTATTTTTTTTCAAATTATAGCGTTTTCAAATCAACAATGAATAGAGCGTAAAAAAGGATCAACATCACCATGCATGCAAAGGCCACTCGATCATTAATCTGCCAATCACAATTGCAATAAAAGCGAAGTCAACCGATCAGAGGAGTCAGAAATCACTAATTACATGAACACTTTACCGTCAGAAAGTTTTAAAAAAAAAAAATCACTGGTCTAATTTTCATTTCAGTTGATGTGGGGCGCTGCCTTCGGGATTGTTTTGATCTAATTTATCCCAATGGATATTGGCCCAGGTCTTCTTTCGACAATGCGGATAAATTCCGTTGAGATTCGACGAAACAGCACAATCACTACTGATGCCATACCACCAGCCTCCGCCTCTTTTTGGAATACAATTAGCAGCATCTCTATCCCAGGTACCAAAAATGAGATCTTTGTGAGGATTGAGGGAATCAGAGGAAACAGTTGAATCTGCTTAAAAAAAAAGAAAATTCCATAATATTAGGATCAACTTGAGATAACACTTTTGACATCTCAAACTCGATAGCTACTATTATCGAAATACAAAAATATCGGGCAAAATTATAAATGCTAAAATTCTATGATTTTGCTATAGTCGAGTTCAATGAATTTTCTATCTCAAGCAACTTCGAGAGCAAACTGTCCACGGAAGAGCGTGGACTGAGCTAACTACGGGCAGAATTAATAGAAAAACACAGTCAGGCGGGTATAGGCTAGAACAAACCATTGCTTGTAGGTTTAACCAGGAGTTGGGAAAAGGGATTGAATTTAAAATCAGTTTTCCTTAGGATTCAAGTTGTCATTGATTTGTATTTTCAATTTGCTAAATTTGAAGTGGACGAACATCAGTTTAAGCAGCCTTTCTGAAGAAACAAACTTAAAATCGTTTTTAGCAAAACAGCTTTTAAGCTTTGGCGTGAATGGGGCAGTAGACGTTGATAGGGAAGTAACACATAAAAATCGAACGATGAATGTTTAAAAAGATGGTTTACTTACTTGTCATATTGCCAATGTATAGCCGGTAGTGAGCCGTCCCGTTCCCAATCCCAAACCATTCATACTCAGCGTGAACAGTTTGGCAGGTAGTTACCCCAGATCTACTCGAAGCATGTTCTTTGTCTTGTTTTGTGTTAGACGGTTTATCTTGTCCAGTCCGAGCCAAAATTCACCGACCAAGTTACCGAAGCCATGTTTGTAGTCATTCCAGGTGCGATTAAAATCAACGGAGCCATTCATTCTCTTCTGGAAGACTGTCCATCCCCCACCGGAAGTAGTTTGGTCACAATAGACATTAAAGGCACCTGAGCCATCTGGGTCGATTGTGTAAACACCGCTGATCCTTTGACCGGAATGGTAGAGCTCAACACAGTTCTTAGCTGTTGATAAAAAAACAAGGGAATAACAGTCGATATTCTCTTGAAAAATAACGATTAAAAATTGAATGAATACGTGTTACTAGAGGTAGTAACACGCATGAACGAAGAGGAATCGTGCTTACGTCTCGCCGATGTTTTGTTCTCCGTGAGAATTTTAACCTCAAATCGAACTTGGGTGACTTCCTTCATTATTTCTTCTAAACAGACGGCAGTGTTCTCTTGGCAATCTATTGGGAATGCCCGCGTTGATGGTAGAATTTGAAAATTCACAGATAGTGCCAGAAAAAGCAGAGCAGAACCTGAAGGAAAGAAACCTCATTATATGGTGTGAATTCACTGCTTAGGGCTGATCCAGGTTTAATAAGGGGGTTGGATTAACATATGCTGAAGAACTAAAAATCTTGGAGGGGTGAATAGATACCATACTCTCACACAAAAATATTAAATTTTAGGTCACCCGAAAGGTTATTTTTAGCGTTTTAAGGGATAATTGTTAAAAACTGCACTTTCTTGAAAGTTTTTCATGGATGATGGTAGATGAAGACAAAAGTTGATAGAAAAAGTGAGATGAAGGTGGTTCAAGAAGAATGACGGTAGATGAGGTTGGAATAAGGCAAGTGAACGTAATCTGTGGTAGGTAAGAGTAGATGACGGTAGATAAAAGCAAATAAATGCAAAGTATTGTTTGTACCTTCAGGGAAATGAAATTAGATGAAGGTGCTTGAAGGTAAAATAGGGCCGATGAAGGTAAATAGAGGTAGATGATGGTATATTTAGGAGATGAAAGTAAATAAAAGGAGTTGAAGGTTAATTAATTCGAAATTAAATGAAGGTAGAAGATGGTAAATAAAGGTAGATGTAGGTAAATGGCGGTAAAAGAAGGAAAATTTAAACGAAGATAAGTGAAAGTAGATAAAGGTAAATAAAGATAGATGAAGGTGAATGAAGGTATAAGATAGTAGATAAGGCAGATGACAGAAAACGAAGGTAGATGAAGGAGGATGAAGGAGGATGAAGGTATGTGAAGCTAAATTATGGTAGATGAAAGTGGATGAGGTAGATGAAGGTAAAAGATACTAGCTGAAGGAGGAAAGGATAAATGACAGTAGCTGAAGAACAATGGAGGAAATAAAAGGAGAAGGAAGATAGATCAGGGTACATAAAGATAGACATGCAAAGGCAAATGAAGGTCTTTTAAGGTAAAGAATGGTAGATGAAAGAAGACGATAGTCATTGAAGGTAGATGAAAGCAGAGAAGATGAATAATAGTAATGGAGAGTGATCAAGGCAAATGATGGCAGATGAAGAAATCTGAACGCAGTTGAAGGCAGATGAAGGCAAATGATTATAATTTTAGGTTGATGAAGGTAGATGAGGCTAAACGAAGATAGATGAAGGACAAGGAAGAGCAATGAAGGATAGAAAGGTAAACGAAATAATAACATAGTGAAATAAGGTAGATATAGTTAGCTGAAGAAAATTAAGGTAGATGAAGGTAAATGAAGGCAAAGGAAGTCGATAAAGGACAATTAGGCATATTATGATAAAATATTTGAGACAAAGATATATTAAAGCCAAGATGAAGATAATTAAGTAAAACGATGAGATGAAGATAAATAATTGTAGCTTAAGGTAAATGGAGATAGATAAAGGACGATGAATGTCAGTGATGGTAGAAAAAAGGACAATGAAGGGCAACGATGGTAGCTTAAGAAAGCTGAAGGTAGACAAAGGAAGATGAATAGAAATGAAAGTAAATATAGGTCAATGAAAGTGGATGAAGAAAAAAAGATGAGGTAGATGGTGGGGAGTGAATATTGCTGAATAGATAATTGAAACTGATGAAGGTATTTTAAGGTAAATGCTGGGCGATGAAAGTAAACGAAGGCACAAAGGTAAATTTCGATGAAGGCAGATGTCGATGAAGGTAAATGAAGGTAGAATATGTCAGGTGAAGGAAGATGAAAGTGGGTGAAGGTCAATGAACGGAAATGAAAGTAGATAAAGGTAGATGAAAGCAGAGGAAGGTAGATGAGAGGAATGTGGATAAAGAAATATGACCGTAGATGAGGGTAAATAAAGGAAAATAATTGTGGTTGAAGGTAAATGCAGGTAGCTGAATGATTTTTTTTTGTAACGAAGATGCGTTGTTAGAACTAAATTATAATGCTTCTTATTAGAAAATTGCAAATGAAATACCCCATTTGGGAGAGAAAACAGACGTAGCAACTTGCGGCTTTTACTAAAGGATCAAGGCTATCACGTAAAGTGTAGATGTGTCGTCTGGTAACTTTCAGCATCAAATAAACGAATTTCGGAGGATATTTTTTCGAAATTAATGTACTTCGTCACATTGTACGTTTTGTTTACCCTCTTCAGGTCTAAAGGAAATTCTCAGCCTTATCTTTTGTGAATCATAGGTACATACGCACGTGAACGAAGAAATCTGAATGAAACAGTTCGCTTAAGTATCATACTTGAAGTAGGTAAGCAAAACACACTAGGTAAAGATGTCTCTTAAAGTCAAAGCCTTAGTGCTTCATTTACTGCATCGCCGCCGAGAAAAAGGTCAATTTTTTTCACCATCAAGACCAGTAACAAAGAAGGAACTACCATTTAGTGCGGATAATACATTCTCGCATACCTTTTTAGGAATTTTAAAGCCCAGCCAACTTGAGAAACAGCATATGTAACATTGCCCTTTTGTGTTCGCTTATACCGCAAACATAAATTGGTTAGTTATTAAAGAGGCTTCAACATTAATTCGATGACACCTTTTCTCACAAGCTCATGCGCCAAATCAATCAGAGGCTCGGGTAATTTGAATGTGCAAATAGGACATTACAGACCACGCTTTAGTGGAATACTTAGACCTTTGACACTGAGAAACTACGCTATCTCTATTTTGCTCTACTACTGGAACAAGCAAGCATCAGGAGACCAAAGCAAGATCAATCAATATTTTCTTCACAATTGGTGATTAATTTAGCTGGTGTAGATGTCACCAATCTTGATTTAGAGTTCGCACTCGGAAATATTTTAAAGCTATTTTATCAGTAGTTCAAACCAACAACAATCTTCAAAACTCGCTACAGCTGTTTGCCTCTTCAGACTAAGGAGCTCTAACATTAAATGACGTATTTGTTTCACTAAAAGTCCTATACTTGAAAAAAGAAAGAAAAATTGGCACAGTGTTTTTAGTGTTTGCGGTATCAGATACCTATTCCTCGTTAGGGAAATCTCATCGTAATGATTTAGGTGCAACTCTTTAGAGGTATGCAGCACGCATATACGACCGAAAAGAAAATGAAAAACTCTACAGAAAATGTGGCGGCAAGCTTTATAACCTGATGCGACTCTACCTACCGCTGAGTTCGTATTACCGGACAGGAAGCCTGCACCTATTTTTTCCTGCCACTAATCTCTTTCCTCTGCATGATACTTCGCTTATTGTCAGAGACACCACTACTTGTATCAATTTTATCGAGAATGACCGTCTCGAATTTTCCTGAAATTGCTTATTGTGATATACTTAGGAGATTAAGAAATTGCGCGGGACGGTTTTGATGTCATCTCCGATCTTAGCAACACTCAACAAAACATTTCCGGAAACAAATATTAAGGTAATAGGAAAAATTTGCAAATTTTGATTTTGTGGTTGGCCATCATAATCCCTCCGAGCCCGAGGATAAAGGAAAAAAAAAAGAAGAACTTCATCGCTTTGCCTGCCCCGATGATCGTGAGCTGGACGACATCGTCGAGGGAACTGAGGTAAACTGCGTCTCGGGTTTGCCTAACTTATCAAATTCTTCTAAACTCCTCTAGAGTTAAGATGAGGCCATGTAAACACTGATAAAGCTCTTCATTGTGTAGTTGTCCAGAGAAAGGCCTTATATGTTTCACGATCTCAGAGGCTTTCCTTTTTAAAATTATCCATCGGCAATCGTATCGAAAAGAATATCCTTCCATTCAAGCTAGGAAATGGAAAGTGTTCTGCTATGTGCGAATAACGCATGCACCTTCCGCTGTCTAACTAAAACTTGATTTATTTGCGCACGTGCCCCTCTCCAATTGATACCATAACGAACTACCAGGTCATTATCCGGTGACGTGAAAACACAGTCACTGCGGGTGATTGTTTAACCGATTAAATTAGATTGCTGATTACGAAAAGTAACAAATGATTTAAAATAAGTTACTTGTAATGACCTTGGCGCCACAAAACGGATAAAGTTTCTACGTTTGTCTCCAGCGAAAAGTCTTCCGTTGAATTGCTCATTAGGGAATCTTACTCCTTGCCTTTTAATTTTTATCTATGATATACGCCATGACATAAACGTGTAATGGTGCATGGGGAGTATAAAATGAATTTAATTGCAATGATAGTCAGAACACAGTGACATCATCAGTCAATCATCAATTAATGCGATCGATTGGTAGATATACCGATCAATTTTTTTGGGTCGGGTATTTCCATTTTGACATAAAATATAACAAGTTCTCGTCGTAGGTAACATTATTACAGAGCTAGTGAACTCGTATAATCAAATTCAAATGCGCGAGCATGCGTCATGATCCTATTTTGCACGTTTCTAGCGTCAGCCACCAAATGCATCGAGATTGAAAATTTCCCCCCGTGACTCATTGAAAAGTTTCCGCCCAGCTTGGCTGCGAATTTTTTTATTTCCGAGATGCATTTCTCCTTTCCATACTGATTAAGAAATACCTTTAGGAACTCTAAATGGTAAACAAATTTATGGAAGCAAGTGTACAATTTAAGGAGGTGCATCATCATACAATCCGCCAAGAATTACAACTTAAGAAGCCGATATGTGTTTCTCTTCAAAAGCTTGGCCGAACGATTTTTTGGGGAAATATCCGATGCGATATAATCGAAGTTTACAGCTAACTCAACAGGCTAAGTGTGCAATACAAAGTGGTTGTTTGAAATAGCCTCAATTGCACTTAAGCCCACGGAAATTCAACAGCAGTCCTTTAAGAGTTAAATAATGTAAAATTTAAAAAGCAATTTGATTTATTTTCACAAATCGCTAACCTTTTTGTTGTTTTCAACATGAGAGCTTTCGCACTGAATTCGAAGTCGTGGCATCTTCATACTTACTTACTGAATCGGCTTTCATGGGATATGAGAGCGAAACGTGATGTTTGGTTAAGTTGTTACTAGCAGC